ACCACAATGAGAGTACTTCCTCAGAAATCCTGGTAACGCGTTCCGAAACCGAGACGCGGTTAGTCACAAACTGACTCTCGAAAGGTTTAACGTCACTCCTGTAGAAAGTACGACACCGGATTCGAATCGGCGCCGAACTCAGACCTTAGGCAAAACGATGTCAGAATTTCCCTTACCTGACTTCGGGTATGAGGAAATACTGACTGGGTAATCCTCCGCACCTCCAAACACGACATAAGGATTCCGCAACAATTTGAGTATCGACAAAACCACTCAGCAATACAACAGCTACAGCGTGTCACCGAACACATTATCATGGAAAAAAAATAAAAATGAAACAACCCAACTTATTCTACTCGACCTAAATAAAGCCTTTGGTACAACGCCTTAATAAGCAAGCTATACGAAAACAAAATTCACCTCACGCTCATAAATATAATAATAAGCTATCCACGCAACAGAGAATTCTACATTCCATCAAGAAAACTAAATCTGCATGCAAAAAGTCACATCTGAAGTATACCTCAGGGTTCCATCCTAGGCCCCCTCCTCTTCACCTTATACACAAAAGATATTCCTATGACTAAGGAAACTCACACAGTCATATTTGCCGACGACACCAGAATCTACGCTTCCTCATGAAAGTACATTTAACAAAAGCTACCGAGTACATACAAACACATATAGACTTATTCCATTAAGTATTTCAAAGATTGGAAACTCAAAATCTATCCAGTAATATCCCAAGCTACCATATCCAATACCAAGAAAAACTAAACCTCAAAACCTATCAGAATAGCTGATCAAACTATTCTCTAGACCATCACAGCCAAATATGGGGGTCATTCTCTAAAAATACCCTGTTTGGCGGTTTAAAAACAAACATCAAAATGAACCTTTACAAAGCATGCATCAGGCCACTCATCACTTATGAACGCCAAATCTGGACAGCAGCTGCCAAAACACACATAAATAAAATCAAAAAATGCAGAACAAATTCCTACGCATAATATTAAACCAACCATATGACTCCGATCAGAACATTACACGCCATGGCTAACATGCCAACCATTCAAAATTTCATCCACAATTCTCTCACAACGGCTTACAATCATAACCATCCAAACCCCCTTATCAGAAACACAGGAAAATACGAAGTCACCAACAGTCCCCTGAAAATCAAGACAAGACACCCCAAACATGCGATCGCACACATTTAATAAACTACCATCTCAAGATCACCAAATCAAGCTCCGCAGGTTTTTTAAAATTTTTTCCCTGCAACACATAGTTATATGAACTTCACAACAAGAACCATCAAACTTAACACTATTAATAAATTTTTCTCTTTAAATGCAACTTATAGCGGCTAGCAGATGTCGGAGAAAAGACGTTTCTCAGACAGAAAAGTTAGGAGAATTTACGACTCACGTGGCGCCGACGCTATTGAATTAAAAAGGCTAAAGTCAGTTTTGCAGTGCGTTAAACCGAATGTCTGCACTTATAGTTTTAGAAATACAGCCTCAATAGCATTTCTGCGAAGCGTTGTAAACTCTTGGATTCCTAAGGGCCACCCAGATCAACATCTGGAAAACACTTGGAGAAAGTGAGTGAGGCCCAGAAGAAACCCTGCTACACCGCCACAATTCGGGTAAAATGGGTCCCGGCGAAATTGCAGCCCCACTCTCAGAGAAAATTCGTCTCGAACGCAAGGAGTAGGCGGCGCAATTTCGTGACAACCTAATTGATCAAAACGCAGAAACGGTTTAGCCAATTAGGGATGTCCGAAACGGGGACCGAGTTTTCCTCGGAGCAAAAAAGTTCCGAAGAGAAGAGAACAAGTCGAACAGTCATCGAGTACGAATAAACTGCGATACGCCGCGAACGAAGATAGTCTCCGCGTCTATTGTGACATAGAAAAATAAAAGTATTAATCGATAATACGAGTCTAACGATCATTATCCTGCACAAACACCCGCAAACATCCCCAAAAACTTATAGGGATGCAGCTCCCCAGGAACTGCAAAGGAATCAAATCATGTAAAAAAAAGAAAGGACAAGGGTTCTTTCTTTCAAGTAACTTCAAGATCATCAGATCGCTATGTCAGTTTCTCGTGCGACCATTTTGCCAATGCATCACCCGTGAGAGTACAATTTGACAGTCATTGTACACCACTCGTGATTCAGCCAATAAGAGAGCCGATATCAGACAATAAATTCAGACAAGATGATGTTGCATTTAGTCATTTCCCACAACAATGTGTGATCCTTCGCGCCCAAGACGCACACACGCAGAAGAACTGGATCGCAGACAGTCGAGATTTTCCTTAACATACTAAAAACATTACAGATTAACATGTTAACAGTTCGCTCTCTCATATATAAAGATATATGAGATACGTCTATACTCATACGTCTTCTGATCCAGTGTAGGACAAAAATGATAGAAATTAAAAGTATACTCTTAAAAAGATAAAAGATTATTTCATATCTTAATCAACTGTAGAGTTGTACGAAAAAATAGCGTACGTTACATGATACTACCATTCATAATAATAAGATTCATCAATATCAGTTCTTTTCATTAGCAATCTCTCTTTGTTTCTTTTAGCGGTAACAAATTTGCATTTGTTATTTTTTATTTTTTTCATCATACATACGTAAATTTCATACTTTAAAATTGAATTAATTCTTAAACTCAAATTTTTTGAAATTGTGACACGCGACGCTTTTCCTTATAGCCACGAAGTGTTATTGTGAAGAAAATTACGTGTTATTTCCATGCAATGAACAGTTAAATTAAATATTATATATAATGATGAATCATATAAAATATCTAAATGAAACCTACAAAGCACGATAGAACGTGACTTTCACGCTTCGAAATGTATTGTTGCAAAATATATTCATATCCTTGGATATAAGGAATTTCTGTTCTGGCCTATAAACGTATTAATAACGATATACAATATACAGTTTGGTTGCAATAACTAATTAGTGATTCGTATAAATTTTTGTGAGTTTTTCATTTGCAAATTCATTTTTCCCTATTTCTTTTTGTTTTAGAAGAAATCAATTTTGAATATTTTTTTGTGTTTCAACTATAAAGATGATATAACTGTTCTTTACAAAAAATAATATATATACATATTTTCTAAATATAGTGATGTTCAAAGTGTTTATTTAAATCGAATGTTAAAATTTTCAGTGCTGTGGAAGGAAAAAGAAAATAATTGATAGAGACGTTTGTAGTACTTAGATGTCCTAATGACGACAAAGTGCTCATCCTAAGAGAATATTGAACACTGTTTCAAGGTCTTAATTATTTTTTGCTCATCAAAATCTGTCTTTTATTATGTGATCTTCCAGTCACTATCAGGACTAGATCAACTTATGCCATTCTTGAACCTGAAACGACCTGGAATTTAAGAAATGAATGTAAATTCAAAATAATATAAAAATAATAAATTAACATAAATAATAAAATAACACTATAAATCAGATTAATTTATGAAATGTACAAAATTTTGGGCGCCTGCATAAATGTTTCTGAATATGGTAAATAAAAAATTGAATGATGTTTGTAATAGCACTTCGGTAATTAATTGCATAACATGCAATCTGAATTCTAAAAACTGTAACTGTATAAAATATAAATCATGAGTATTTATTGATTATAATTAAAATATAAGAAATGATAGTTTAATGTTAAAGTTTATTCAAAATTATAAAATCTAATAGTAAGTCAACATTGACTGAAAGGTCAATCAATCAACATTGTTGAAAAAAAGGTTAATCAACATTGACTTAGGCATAACAAAAAAGCATATAATCATTCAAAATCTTATCTTCGTATTAACTTATCGACACCAAATCAATCACATAACTGGTAACAATGTTTCTTCTTCTTCGTCTTTAATAGTATTAAAAATAATTTCAGCATTTAACTTAAATGTAATACTGTGCAGATTATTATAACATTTTAAATATTTGAAAATGTCTATGATAATCTCCATAAAAAGGATATCTGAATTTCAATCTTTGTGATTCTTTCTCAATTTAACTTGAAAACTAGCTATAAAAGATCTGTAGAGACCTTTCTAAAATATTAAATTCTTATAAAAAATTTTTGAAATGTAATATTATTTTCATAACATATTTTTATAATACTAGATTTTTAAAAAAGTTTATTAGTATTGATTTTTCAATAATTGAAGGCAGTTGAATAAAAAATGAAATCCAGTTAATTCTTATTATCTTTATCTGAAAATGTATTAAAGCTATCATAAAAGATCTTAAAAATTATAAAGTAAATACTAATAAGAATTTGCTTACGAAAAACTTGATCAAATAAATATTTTTTATTACAGACAACTACAGAAATATTCATAGTATTAGAACAATGTTTATGGTGGTTGTAATTACTCAAAATATTTCAATTGTCAAATATGTCATTATTTTTTGTGTATCTTATATTAATTGATATAAGTACTTACGTTTACCTGTAGTTGAATGATTCAGCTATGTTCTTCACTACTTATGTACCTGGTTCCAAGCCAGACATTGCAACTCTTCGTACTCATTGACTTTCGCTACATTTTCTCTATTAGTAGAAGAATGTAAAAGAATCGATGTATCCATATTCTGTTGCGAACTCTGTGGCAACTGTACGAACAATATTACTGCAAAAAGTTTCCGCTTTTCCAATACCTGTAAGGTAAAAGAAAAAATGAGAAAAAGGAAAATAAGAAGGAAAGAATTTGTTCGACACTATAATTTTCTTGAAATTGATATTTATTATGCAACATTCTTGGAGGGGCGCAAATGAATTCAATCGACTGGCAGTGCACAGCTATAATTCTCGCAAATTATACTTTAATTCTACGGACGGGTGACACGGTGAAAATTTCAGAAGAAAGAAAGAATGCCATAAATAATAAATCAAAACGAGGTATCTTGGAAGGATTCCTCGATGTCTACGCACAGATGCTCTTCAACAATCGATAGCTATGGACGTATTCGAGAAAGAATACAACGGTTATCGTATTGTGGCGTGTATTGTTGGACTATGGCCATTCCAAAAATCAGTTGGTACAATGATTAAAAGAATAATTTTTTGTACTAGCTTCATCGCGGCTTCAGTAATCCAGGTAACGAATATCCTTCATTCATTTTGTACATAATATAACATCTTATTCAATCAAACTACATTAAAATCTACTTTTCACAAAGCTTTTTACAAAGCGTTTTACAAAGATATTGATTTGTTAAAATAATTATTTAAGTGTATTATGTCAATATAATATTATACTGTGTATATATAGTGTTGTATGTGTATTATACGTATATTGTATTATATTAACATAAAAAAATTTATCATCTCGGTATTAGAGTCAATGTGCTTTTGAAAATGTGGTACAATCGACATAAAAAAACAAGTTAGAGAAGAGAAAATAAAATCTTTTCGTATGACGCTCCATTTCCGAAAAAATCGAGATTAAAAATTTGTCAAAATATTTGAATTAGGTTAATTATAGACTCAATGAATAATAGATGTGAATAATAGATTATCAAATCAAATTAATATCAAAGAATAAGAATGCAATTCTTCCATAAAATGCTTCGTTTTGAACATTTATCAAATATGTATACAACAAACGTGTAATGGACAAGCATCTTTCTTATAAATGGTAAGTTTTTAGAAAAAAATGAAACAGCAAAAAATTCTGATGTTATTTTACGGGCAATATAATGTAGTCGAATATGATGTACACTAATTCTGCAATATTGTTCGAGAAACGATGACCTTCAGCTTTTTAAACAGAATGATATATATTTTAATCTAACTGACGTGACTCAATATTATATGCAAAAAAATATATTTTTCTTTTTTTTTTTGTTATCAATTATTTTATGTCGCATCAACCTCATGGGTTATTAGCGACAACAGAAGGAGGGATGGTTCATATGTTGTTGTAGAGCGTGGTCTGTTTCAAATATTGTGGCAAGAGTGATGATGTTCCACTGTCCTTTAGGTTGTCTTTTAGAGTTGTTTTGATACGGAGTTGCTTTCTTCGCAGTAGGTATACTTCGCATTGTAGTATGAGGTGTTCTATTGCTAGGGTCTTTTTGCACCGTTCGTAGAATGGTTGGTCTTCTTTGGTGAATATAAATTCGTGTGTTATTTTCGTATATCCGAATTATTATGATTCTTGATATTACGACTTGGTCGCGTCTTTTAGTGGGTATTATGTTTTTGTAAAAACCATTTTTTATGGTTAGCAGTGGTGGTTTTCCATTCGTTGTTCCAATGGTGTTTGATTTTTTGCTTTAGGTGGACAAGTAAAGAGTCGAGTGGTAGCTTTGTGTTGTGATAGGGGATTGTCGAGTTCGCTGCTTCCCTAACGGCTTCGTCCGCTCTCTCGTTCATTTCAATTCCTGTATGAGATGGGATCCATATTACTGTAATTGAGTTATTGTTTATTATTGGTTCAATGTAGACGTTTTGGCATTCGTGAATGGTTGTATTGTTTGTCCATTTGTTTAAAATTGAGGCGATAGCATTTGTGGGGTCACTGAAGATGGAGAATTTTTTATTGTGGTATTTAATTGTGGTTTCGAGAGCCTGTTTTAATGCGTTAAGTTCAGCGGTCAGAATGGACGTGACTTGGCTTTTATAGTTGACTGTTCGAAGACGATCGAGTAGCCAGTGCCGTTTTAGGTTTTTGAGTCACCTGTACAGAAATGCGTGCGGCCTTGATATATTTGGAATAGTTGATGCACTCATTGTGACTCATGGTGAGTCGGAGATCGGGAATCTATCCATATTATGGCACAGCACTTTATTATTATACGCTGTACGATCGGCACTCGCGAGCAAAGTAAACACGTCAGCTCGGTTTAAACACTCGAGAGCAACTGAAAAAATATTAATTTATTATATATGTCGAAAAAATTATTATTTTAGCAGTTATTTCAACTTTTATAATTGTATAAACTCTACAACAGATAATTACACATGATCTATGCGTTTAAAGACAAGGCCAGTAAGAGCAGAAAAATACTTTCGATGATAGATTTTATTTAATACTTTTAATGACAGATTAAAATATCTCTTAAACTGATAATTTTTTGAAATATATAGGTTAATAAATTCGTTCTATTAGTTAAAAACATCAATGGTTGTCTTTCTTTCTTGAACAACATTGCAAACATAAAAAATTACACCATCATGACTATAAGAAACATTACAATATTTTTCACTTTCTTTAAAAACATACTATTTATATAAGAAAAATCTTGGTCTATTATATCGCAAACATCCTATACATGTGTTCCAAGCCAATTCTGAACTAAACACGCTGAAAAAATAAAATCTTAAACAAAAAAATTTTATTTCATATTTATGATCTATTTTTATATCTGAAATAATTTACTCTCAATTATTCACGCCCATCCGAAATTAGTTAACTTCATGTAAACGAAATTTTCAATAGAAAGATGTTATGCTATGTATCTTATGTTTGCATGTAGAGGTATGCCATGGGCGATTGTATTTTGAAAACATCCATGTATATTAAATGATTAATCTTGTCGTTGACTTCGGAGGATATTTTAATATATTTCTTAATAACTCCATTAACTACGATACGGCGATATTTATTAATTCATTCTATAGCTGTTTCGGAATTGCTGCATAATAGTATTTATATCTGTTTAATAATATCTATCAAAAAAGAAAAAATATACACAGAAGTATGTTTACTTACTTACTTTTACTTGGAGCTTTAATGAATAAATAGTTTAAAATCATCTGCAGAAGAAACGTATGACCAAAAAGTACATACTTCATCTTTCCTTTGATTTATAATCTTATATTATTTAATTAATGCTAATGAACATATTTTTTCAGATAGTAGCGCTTTTAAACTCTGAAATTACGTTATACAGCTGCGTCCTAACAGCGTCTATGACTGCTCCTTTATTATTATTTTTCTTACGATACATTAATTTTATAATATTATCTTCATGTGTAAGTATGTACCGATGTTTTGAACTATTTGAAATTTAGAATTATATTATTTAATTATATTTAAATTAATTTAATTTAATTACACTATTTAGAATATTTTATGATATAAAATTATTAGTGTTGTGTATGTGAATATAGTTCCGATTCTGTCTTGACCAAATTCGTACGGAAGAATCCCTACTGCATGATTTGGTCGAGATACAAATATTAAGAAAATATTCCAATGATGGAAGTCGCTTATTCAATATTTATCTCTGTAAGAAAATATTTTATTATTTGGAAAACATTTTCTTGTTGTTGCTATGAACGAACAGTCGACTGTACATTAAAGTTGCCGAGATAGCTTCCTCTGATTATACGATGATATTTTAAATATTTTAATAGTAGTTGTTTTAATAGTTTTTAATATTTTTTTTCATCAACATTTTGAACAACTTATTTCTCTGACAAAAATGTTGGAGCAAATGTTTTTCAGTTTGCGAGATATTTGCGAAAAACTCTCAATTGTCGCCAGGAATTTATCTAAACCAAGCTAATATCGATACTCCTATTTAAAAAGAACTGAATTTTTTTTCTTGTTGCTAATTTCATGATAAAAACGTAGACGGGCCTAATCTTTACTCCTCATCGTGTAACCCTGAATCCCTACAAGAACTCGAATTTGTCCTAAATACATTTCTAATAACATTAGAAGTAGATTTGAGTTATTTTAGAAATATATTTTTATAATTTCTGATTAGATTTATAGTTACTAATTATAAAATTATACTAAATTATAACTAAAATTATGTGTTCGGTCTTACCGAACACAATGAGGGTCAAAATATAATGCGACAAATAAATTCATCGAGCCAAGAACAATAAACTCCTGTCTTGTAACTTTTTCTACGGCAGGGACCTCCCGCGACCGTATTTCATATTTCAAACTGACATTTCCGTATTGTAGTCATATTTGACT